ACTGTCATTTTGTGGTGAAAGTGTAGCAAAAGTCTTGGAAGGTCAATTGTTAATCAAGTTAAGATAAGTAGGCTTCTCGGCTAAATCACAAACTGAATGTTCCATATGTTTTGGTGGGAGGAGGGGTGGTCAGAATGGGAAGCAGGAAAGTTTAGATTGTTGTATTGATCCCATGAATGGAGCAGGAAATGCATGCAACGACAGTTCAGAAATCTGCTGTCTTATTGATCACATCTTCCGGTTAAATGGTAACAGGTGACCTGTAAGCAAGCTAAAAACAAAGCAGAGCAGTTTGCCTTGGGAAAGCTGAAAACTGTAATGAATGAATTGGAAGCACTAATACAGTCATTGTACTGCACACCGTGCCTTCACTACTGAAGCGTGTCATTACCATGTTTCTGTATATATGATTGAAATTTGAAAAGCAAAATTTTGCATTCTGGAAATTTGAAACAAAAACTCTGGTGATACTCAACATATCAGGCAGCATATATCAAAAAACAAAAGTCAGCTAATATTTCAGGTACAGGATGCTTCTTCAAAAGTCTTGTAACTAAAATGTCAAAAGACTTGTGCTGTCTTGACGAGCTGTCTAACCTGCTGAGTATTTGCTATTTGTTTTTATTTCTTTAATAAACTTTGGCATATTTATTTGACAGATGCAAGTATTTTACTAAATGGACATTTTTGAAAAACACAATGCATGTTAAAACCCTGTTTCTAAGTGCTGAGTACAGAGCAGATTTGCTATGTGACAGTAGGTTGAAACATTAATGTGTAATCTCTCTTCTGGCACAACTGGAAGTGATTAATTGAATATTGCTTAGCTTTAAAAGTTACTCATTGGGGTATGAGTCCCCCCACCCCTTTCTATCTTGTATAGGTGCTAATAGGGAAAATAAACTCAGATTAAACTTATACAGAATGAAAATGTTGCTAGCTGTACTTTTGGAGAGGTTTAGCTGTAAGTAAGAGATTAGTTAATTTTCTTTCCAGTTTTTAAACAAACTAAAATCTAGTGCTTACTGTTTCACACTTGGTACAGAACGTAATAGTGAATAACTTTCTATTGTTGGGCACATTTTTCAAAATGGCTAACAATATACAAACAAAAGACCTTCACATACAATATATTAGGTAGCATGAATCTTGGCCTATACGCTGAGCATTGAAACATTCAAAATTAGGGGTTGATTTGTACCCAGAGTATAAAAGTGGCAACCACTCAATGGCAGTTCAATTTGAAATGTCATCGGTGACTAATACAAAGAGTGGGCATGTCTTAAACCCTCACACACCTTCACATCACAGCCTGTATTGCCTGTTAGTTATAAGGTACTAGTAAGTAAAACATCCAATTGTGATGTGCAAAATTGAGACTGACATCCTTAGCATGTCATTGGTTGAAAAGAGGAATCAACTGACATGCTGAGTTTATGCAAAAACAAAACTTTTAGGGCTGGAAAAATTGGTGTTGTACAGAAGATTGACTTGTATGCCATCATTTACAGCATTTGTTTTGTATCTATTCACATTACAATTCTTGCTAGATTTTTGTCAGACTCAAAAAGAAAAGTCTCAAACTAAAAATGTTTTTGGGCTTCAGTGGATTTTTTTATTCAGAGAAAAGGAGGCTTAGCTGGCTGGGTTACATTTTCTTAATTTAGAACAATATCTGCAAGTTGCAACTTATCTTCCTATAATTCCACCACACTATAATCTGCAATTGTATATTTCAGTATCTGAAGTTAATTTATAAAGCAAGTAACTAGCATGTATTTTTCAATTTTTGTTTTTCAAAAAGGGGTATTTTCATCAAACTTAAATAAAGTTGCCATAGTCCAAAAGGACCATTAGGGTTGCTGCTGTCATTAGAGAAAGACCACAGGTGGTGGTTTAACCTGAGAGTCAGCACACCTCCGATGAAAGGAGAGGTTGAGAACATGGGACATTCTTGGTAACACCAGTCAGTGCAGGAACTGAACCTGCACTGTTAGTGTTACTCTGCATTGCAAACCAGCCATCCAGGTAACTGAGCTAATTGAGCTGCTTAAAAAACATTGAAAGACTCTGCTTCCACAACCTTTTGAGGAAGACTTATGATCCTGTGTGAGAGAAGAAATTCACCACATCTCAAATGGGTGACCTCTTATTTTTTAGCAGTGACTTTAATTTTTGTGTAATATATTTAGAGCAGGGTGAGATCAATGATAACTGAATGTACAAAAACACTTTTACAGCCAATTACAAGATTTTGAAGTCCAGTCATCCAGTTGTAACTTTTCTGTTGGCGCTTCTTCCACTTTATAAAATGCTTTTGAAATTTATGTATCCATTAAAACATTCTGGTCAATTCCTCAAAGACCTTCCCTAATTGAAATAGGATTCTGTGCATTGATGTTTCATTTTGAAATTTTGGTGATGTTGTGATGAGTGAGTGTGCAATATCGTATCTGCATTTTAAAGAGCAAAAAAATTATTAATATCTTGCTGTCAATAATGTGAAGGTGAGAAAAGTGATCATGTGCTGTGAAGGCTGTTGAGGTTCTCGAGTGGTGCCAAATTCTTCAATTGCTTAGACATCTAGGACAAAACAAATGGTTTTTAAAATAAAATCATTGACTTATTGACTAGTTAGGTTATTTGAAAAAGGAAGATACCGTAAAACTCTGCATTAGCTCTATAATGTTAATAGGCAAAGAGGTTAAATGTTACAAAGTATTTATGTTCACAATGATTATGGGGTTTGTCAAGTTCCTGGTTACAAGGGGTAAGTGATGAATATGATGAGGCAAGAGCAACTATGGTATCCCAGAGTCTGGTTTTTTTTCTGCCCAAAAGTGCCCAGAGGTTTTCTCTTTTCTTTCTGAAAGATAGGGGCTAAGTAAATGGTTTAATGATACATCGCTGACTGGATTGTTTGAGTCTGCTGGACCTGAATGAGTATTAAAGAAAAGGCAGTCTAATGAAGGCACCAGTCAGACCACAGCTGGAGTACTGTGAACAGTCTTGGGCCCTGTATCCAAGAAAAGATACAGTAGCATTGGAGACAATTTAGAGAAGGTTCGTTAGGCTGATCTGAGGAATTACTATCACATGAGAGATTGAGTTGGGTGGGCTTGTGTTCATTGGAGTTTGGAAGAATAAGAGGTGGACTTATTAAAACATACAAGATCCTTATGAGACTTGACAAGTTAGATGTGAAAATGTTCTTTCTCCTCCGTCTAGGCCTAGAGAGCATAATCTCACAACAAGAGGTTTCCCATTTAAGACAGCTGAGGAATTTTTTTGAGGCTCGTCTGTTTGTGGAATTACTTAGTATAGAGGGCTGTGGAGGTTTCGTCATTAATTATATTCAAAGCTGTATGGGATTTTTAATCAGGAAGTGTATTTGAGGTTTATGGGGGAAAGGCTGGAAAGTGGAGTTGAGAATGATTGGATCAGCCACGATCTCATAGATGAAGCAGACTCAGTGGGCTGAATGGCCTACTTATAACTCTTTTTAAAATCAGTCTCATTCACTCCGAGTAGCTGCTGGTTTTTAATGGGCCAAACTAAGATGTAACATTGCACATTCATATTGACATTGAATTGCACCTGACACAAAGCTAGCTAGTTTTAAAGAGTTAAAAGAACTGTGGATCTGGAAGTCAGAAACCAAAACAAGAATTGCTGGAAAAACTCGGCAGGTCTGATAACATCTGTAGGGAGAAAGCAGAGTTAGTGCTTCAGGTTCAGTGATTCTTCAGTTCTGAAGAAGGGTCTCTGGACCCAAAACATTAGCTTTCTCTCCACAGATGCTAATGTTTTGGGACCAGAGACCCTTTTTCAGAACTTCTTCAGTTCTGAAGGATCACTGAATCTGAAGCATTAACTCTGCTTTCTCCCTACAGATGTTATCAGATGTTTTTCCAGCCATTTCTGTTTTGGTTTTAGAGAGTCCCTATAGATGAGGAGAAATGTATAAAACTTGTTATCTTACCATCACAACCCATTAATCTCACTCTGGTTATGAATGAAGTCAGGTGCCTGAATATTTCCCCCTTCAACAGACACTGGTTCTCCTTTCTCTAGGTGGCCCTCAGTGGGCTGTGGCCTGCTCTCTGCTTATGCAGTGGTACCTATACACAGAGCATATTGTTACATGTCAGATTTCTGCTGCAGGCCTGACTGGCCTTTTGTATGTGTTGTGGGAGGGCTTCAGCCAGAAATGAAAGACACTTCAGGTCAAGTTGTGTCTGATTGGGCATCTTGTTTATTGGGACACATCAATTTGAACCTTTCAACCCAACAGAACTTTTTGTAAATAACACGTGACTTATTTTGACAACTTTCATTAAGGGCCGAGTACTCTCCCACCCTGAAGAATATATATAATTTTAAAAGTTTCTCTCAAACAGAGTCTGGCGATTGCTGCTCAAACCAAACGTGCCCTTAAAAAATGCATTGTCAAAAGAGAACAGACCAAACCTTTTTAAGGGCGTAAAACCATTCTATTTCTTGATTCTCCCCCTCATTACTTTTTTTTTAAATTGAAAGATTGTTATGAACTTTTAAAAACCTACGTGTCTTGTGCTTGAGTTATCCTTCCATGTGGAACCTTGGGCAACTTCCAACTGTCGCCTGTCCAAGTGCGTCTGAAGCATCACTTCGGGCCTTACACACATCATATAGACAATGTAACTTCTAGTAATGTGTAATAGATTGTGAATGTTCATACCCACCAGCCGGTGATAACCCTTAATGACAAGTCATGTCTGAGACCATATTCACTGAAGCTAATTGCAATAGTGTTACATTGCTTATCTTGACAATAATGGCCAGTATCGCCCAGGGCTTGTGCTGCCACCTGGTGACAAATGTTAAGGCCGTGTTTTTCCAATAATCTTAGACACTCTGGAAATTGGGTTCCATGCCAGCAGCCAGTGTTCATTCGTACCCTGTATACTGCCCTGTAACCTTTTTTAAAAAGGTGAAACGACCAGTTTTGATTCTCATGTTTATTGGCTGTCTGATAACCATGGATGGAAGCAGACCTCCTGGATTGGAGGTCTCAGACTGCAATCGGGTTCCAACAATCTTCCAACAAGGTCTCGACATTCCCGGCTCAGCTCCAGGTGCTGTGGGAATGCCACCCCATTCTGCTGCAGCCACAACATCTTGGGAATGTTGGAGTCATCGAAAGGCAGGTGTCCGCACAGCATGATGTACAACACAATGCCCATACTCCAGATGTCACTCTTGATGCTCTCATGTGGAACTCCCTGGAGAACCTCGGGTGCAGCGTAAGCTGTGCTACCGCAGAATGTCTTGCTTAACTCAGCTGTCCCGGTCCGGAAATTCTTAGCGAAGCCGAAGTCTGCCAACTTCACATTGAAGCTTTTATCCAGCAGTGTGTTCTCACACTTCAGATCTCTATGAGCAATACCACAGTCGTGACAGTATCGAATTGCTGCTACAAGTTGACGGAATAAGGTTTTTGCCAGTTCTTCTGGTAACGGCCCTTCCTTTTTGATGTGTTCCAGAACATCCCCACCTTCTGCAAGCTCCATGATTATACAGATCTTGCCATCATCGCTCTCCCAGATTTCGTGAACCTTAATGATATTTTTGTGATCCAAGTTCTGTACTATTTGCAGTTCTCGTGGGAGAAATTTGTGGATGAAATCTAGAAACGGAAAATGCAATATTTTATAGGTTGAAGCCCGTTGTGCGTCTTACGTGATTAACATTTCGCTTACATGACGCTTTGATATCGACTAGGCGCGGTCTGCTCTAAGTAGGGGTTTCAGCAGCATTAGGGATTGGCCGTTAGTGCTGGGTTTGCCAGCAATACCCAATTCTAGCAATGGATTAAAAAACAACTGTTTTCCTTTTGCACAGCTGCGAGTGTGTAAAGGCTGCATATATAGTGTCCAGATATATAAAGAAATCCAATATTGAGGTGTTGCTGTAGCGCAGTGGTAATGTCCCTGCCTTCGGGTTAGCAGGCCCAGGCTCAAGGCTGACCTGCTCCAGAATTGTGTAATAACATCTGTGTGATTAGAAAATATCTTTTAAACAAATGTTTGAGTTATTGAATGACTAACTCAAATTGCACGTTAAAAAAAACAAATACCTGATTCGTTTGCGAAATTCTAGCCTATCAGAAGCCAGTGAGATGCAACATTTCTGTTTACACATTGGCAGTTCAGGTCAACATAGCGGCTGTCTGTACACATCATTATTGAAATGACTCATGAAGATTGGGTTTCGGAAAACGATGTGGTGTCCCTTGTCTGGACATTACCTCCCCGGCTCCCAACAAAACGGCGGAAAAATGTGTTAACGGTGGTCATACTGACTACTTTATACTTGAATCAAATTCCGAATTTAGACTGTTTTTCCATTTTATTTCCTATTGGGTTGCTGGATTCTCGTTAATTCAGAACTGTCCCTGCTGTTCACACATTCTTAAATCTTTTAGCATTTATTCTACCACCTTCTCCCCCCCCGGTCTCTTGTTCTTGTTCTGTAGTTCATTCCACTCCCTGCTCTATTTCATTTTTTTTCCAATTTAATTCCACTTTTCCATTGCGGGAGGGTTTAGATCCGAAACTCGTTTTCGTCACAGCTGCAGCCTTATCTGGTTTTGTATCAGACATGAGGAGCTCTCCTTTTCAACCTCTCCCCTCGCCTGAGGCTTAGTGACCCTCAGGTTAAACCACCCTCGGTCGTCTTTCTCTCTAATGAGAGAGTAGTCCCCTAGTCCTTTGGGATTGTGGTAACTTTATCAAACTTAAAAGTTTGACTGTTTACTTTTTCATTATATTATCTTTAGCTGCTGGTCATTAAAGATTTATTTTTATTTAATGTGACATCCCGATTACAGAACAAATACTGCTATTTTACGAAATGAGGGATGAACCATTGATCCGGTAAATGCACATACTGGCGTAATGAATAATAAATCTTAAATCTCACTAAATCTAAAACTCCTGCTGGATTTCCCCTGACATTTCCGGTCGTGGAAGAGCTGGCGATTTGCTCGCCATTCAGACTTAATGAAATACTAGCAACAACCGTAATAACAATTTTAAAACCAGGAAAGTGAGGCTGTATACTAGAGGTGTGGGTCACTTGAGTACAACGAATTCCTGATCCTGGGATTTAAAAATGAGTTGGAAAATGAAAGTCCAAATGAACAGATCCTTTTAAACAGTGAGTGGAGACTGAAAAATTCCCTTCGCCTCATTTTGTTGGGGTTTTCTGAATAGGCGAGGGAATCGTTTAGAATTATGTATTTTTAGTTAATGTATGGACTCCAAGTAAAATGTGAGAAAGTTTTTGACTGTCAGTTCGTGCGTGATGCTCGAGTTGGTCCCAATTTGTCTCTACTCTGGGTAAAATCTTCATCATTTCGGGGGAGTTACTCGCTGTGTGCAGACCTTAGTTAAAGTAAAATAATTGTCACAGCACTTGAACATTGAGCTGGGCAGCAGAACACCAGCTATTGATGCAATATTGGTTGCTTCACTGATTAGCTGCACGTCATCAGGTGGACGTGAATTCCGTAGCTAATGAACTGGGACGATTTTTAAGAAGTTGCTTATCCGCCGTGTGCCTTACCCTTTGGTACTGTCTGGCGGTTGATGATTTTGATGGCCACTTTCCTCTGCTGGTTTCTGCAGTAAGCTTCCTTCACTTTGGAATAAGTCCCCTCCCCGATCGTGTTCCCAAGTTGATATCCTTTAGACAGGAGCAGTTTTTCCATCGCTTCTCATCCACTTTCTTAACGAGTTTCAACGATCACATTCCTCAATTTAGCCAGTTCCACGCAACCTACCCAATGTTTCTCGGCTTCCCAGCTTATTTCTAAAATCGGACATTATATAAAAAAATAGCAATCCTGGGTGTGACCGCCCAGGCAAAACCATGCCAGTGGATATAAATGTGACTTCATTATGATGGCATAATTTACCTGTTACTAAGGAGACTTTGTGCTGTCTGCTCAAGCTGTCTCGCTGATATTCATGGCTTTAAAAGTCTTTACAACCCAATCCTTGATTTGTTTGAGCAGTTAGTTGGTTCGGATTGGAGCCTCTAGCTAGCGCCGAGAATGGAAGCTCCGGACCTTCCCCCCCCCCCCCCGCCCACTTCCTTCACCAAGTCCCTCAAACCACAGCGCCTCACACAAACTCAGGAAATCTCTGTCAAACCACAGCTCAACATGTGCCAGTTCCGCCAGGGAATGGGGGAAAAGACGCCGTTCTACTCGATGACATCAATTCAAAACCTCGCCAAGGGCGGCCTGAGAGAATGGGGTCTATCCACCAGCCGCTGCTGCCGTCATCATTCTCATCCCGAAAGCAGAGAGGCTGCTCCAACTCTACACCATGATAATCTTCATTTTCTGTTCCAATATGACCTCGAGCCTTGTCCTTTTTGATTGGTACACTGATAAATTCTCCATTTGTGAAAAATCCGTGCTATTTGGTTTGGGATGCAGTCTGCCAACTGCCAACAAGTCTTTGCTGGCCCGCTTCTTTCTGGAAGCTGGTGCTCCTTTGATATCGGAGAGGAACAGGGTCATTTTACAGACAGCAGTAGCGAGGATCACACCAGACTCTCACGGTTGTCTTCATGTTGTGTTTGAGATAGCTATCCTGAAAACCACCTGCAATACAATGTCGAGTGATCAGGATCGCGAAATTACCAGGGACAGTTGTAACCACAAATAGCTCAATTGTTGAAGTTTTGGAAAATTTGATTAAAATATCTATACTATTGCAACACAAATGTAACAAAGACGATAGCAGTTACTGCACTGCTGATTCAGGGAGAGTTTTCATTCAGTTAACTGAATAAATCTGAAATATATAAAGCTAATCTTAATAATGATGACTATGAAACTACTGGATTTATATAAAACCCACTTGGTTCACAAATGCCTTTGAGGGAAGGAAATCTGGGCTACACATGACTCCGGGTGAATAATGTAATCTTTGCTTCTTTGTTTCTGAACTGACAGCAAACCACTTAATATAGTGTGGTGCTGGACGAACACAGCAGGTTAGGCAGCATCAGAGGAGCAGGAAAGTCGACGTTGCAGGTTTACACCCTTCATCAGCAAACCACTCAAGCTCTATTAAATCGGTACCGTTTACTAAACCAGTAACATTCAAGAATAAAACAGGTCGACCATTTAGCATTGTTTTCAGACATACCCTGCCCAGCCAAACCTGTGATATTCTTCTCACTAATATCTGGGGACATCTATAAAGAATTGGGAGAGCTGTTCTACAGACCAGCCAAGCAACAGTCACACTCAGAATTATTGCCTACACCTTATGTCCCTGACACTACTACCACTATCCCTGGGGAAGCCCTGCCCCACCACCAGAACACACCCACTAGAAGGATCAGCACAGTCATATGCTGCCAGGGGAGTGAGCTCCACAGACACACATCTGGAAATTCAATGAAGATTGCACAAACGTGTAAAAAAAGGCTGTAACATTTGAAATCCTCCTAATCTGGGAATGTCAAATTGATGATTCATCTCAGTCTCTTCCTGAGGTCCTCACCACCACAAATGCCAATCTTCAGCTAATCTGATTGCCTTACTATGATGTTAATTGGTGCCTGAGCACGCTGGATGCAGTAATGGCCCCCTCTGTAGCTGTAACACTGGTATTAATCTGACACGTATGTCCTGTCCATAAACACACAAAATAAAAATTCTACCAGACCAATTACTACACCATCAGTCCCCTCTCAACATAGAAAGCAGGAGTAGAAGTAGACCATTCAGCCCTTCAAGCCTGCTACATCATTCAATACGATCATGGCCTATTTGTTTTCACATTCCCAGCTACTCTCAAAAACCCTTGATTTCCTACCTCCAAGAATCTGTTGACCTTCTGTAAAATATTCAACCACTCTGCCTCTAACGGAGAGTTCCAAAGTCACTCAAACTTCTAAGAGAAAAACAAAGTCTCCTGATCACTGCCCTGAAAGGGTGAACCCTGAGTTTAAAATAGTGTCTTCTTGTTCGGGATCCACCTACAAGTGGAAACTTCCTTTCCTTGTCCACCTTGTTACGACAATTCAGGATCAACACTTCAATTAAGTCACTCCACACTCTTCCAAACTCCAGTGGAAACAAGCTCGGTCTGTCTAATCTTTCCTCAGACAATCTACAAGTTCTAGGTGTCAATCTAGTGAACATACTTTGAACCACTTCCAATCAATTTACATCCATCTTTAAAAAAGGAGACCAAAACTGCACACAATATCACAGAGGTGTTACAGCACTGTAGACCATTTGGACCATCATGTCTACATTGGCTCCGTATTTAAAATGTGGTCTTACCACTGCCCTATATAATTGAACCATAATATCTTTATTTTTTATGTTCAATTCCTCTTGCAATAAATAATAACATCCTATTAGCCTTTTTGATTATGTGCTATATTTGCATACTAACCTTTGACGTTGCACACTATCAAAAAGCCTTTTGGAAATCCAAGAACAGTAAATCGGCAAGCTTCCCTTTATCTATAGAATAAAGAACACCCATAGATTGGTTAAACATGATTTTCTTTACAGCGAAACACACCAACTTTTCCTGATTACCTAGAATTTTCTGAAGTGTGCAGCTACATGAAACGATTGAGTCTAACACCTTTCCCAAGACAGATGGCAAGATAACAACTGCATTATAGTTTTCTGCCTCTGTTCATATATAGGGGCGTTTTCAGTCTGATGGTACCTTTCCTGACTCAAGTGAATTTTGGAAAATTGACACTAATGCATCTATTACCTCATTAGCACCTTCTTTAAGACCCTAGAATAAAATGCATCTGGACCTGGAAACCTGTCGGCCCACAACTCCATTAGTTTGGTTTGTGCCACTCTCTTGTGGTTGTAATTTCAATAAATTCCTTCCTTCCTTCCATGTCCTCATTTGCAGATATTACTGGAATGTTTTTATGACCTATAGTGAAGACTGACCCAAAATATTTGTTAATTTCATCTGCTATGTCCTTGTTATCCGATATTAACACAGCATTCTCTTTCTAGAGAACCATTACTCACTTTATTTGCTCTCTTCCCTTTTAATTTTCTGTGGAAACTTTTGCTATTCATGTTTGCGTTCCTAGTTAGCCTTCTTGCATTTCTCCCTCCTGATTAACCTTTTTGTCATTCTAAGCCATTCTCTATGTTCTGTCCGATCACCTGACCTGCGAATCATCTTTGTGCAGTTATTCACTTTTTCCTTATGTTTGATACTTTCTCTAACTTCTTTTCTAACTTAGGACTGAATTGAGAAGGAACTTCTTCACCCAGAGGGTTGTTAATCTATGGAATTTCTTGCCCAGTGGAGTAGTTGACGCTACTTCAGTAAACGTTTTTAAAGATAAGGTAGATTTTTCTTGAACAATAAAGGAATTAAGGGATACGGTGAGAACGCGGGTAAGTGGACCTGAGTCCATGGAAAGATCAGCCATGATCTTATTGAATGGTGGAGCAGGCTCGAAGGGCCGGACGGCCTACTCCTGCTCCTAGCTCTTATGTTCTTATTAATTAACTACAGATGGTGGGTCCTCCCTTCAGATGTTTACTTCATACTGGGAATGTATTTATTCTAAGTATTCTAAAATATCGCTTAAATATTTGCCACTACTTCTGTACTTATTTACCTGCTAGCTTAAACTAGTTCACTTCAACTACTCAATCATACCTACATGTATTTAAGTTTAAAAAATTCTTCTTATTGTGGTGACTTCAATCAAGAGTCACCTTAACGATGCAATCACTAATTAACCTGTCACATTCTTAACCCAAGGCCATCTCTGACTATTGATAAATGTCATTTGATTAACAATGGTACACTTCCACCTTTACCTCACTTTCTATTTTTCTTCAATGTCATACACCCCTCAATATTCAGGACCCATTCTTCATCATCCTGAAGTCATGTCTCCATAACGGTTACCAGATTGTATTTATTTATTTCAACATACAGTGTCAATTCATTCACTTTGTTACGAACACTACACGCACAGATTCAGAGCCTTTATTTTTGACTTCTTTTAATTTTGTAATAGTTAGTCTTGATTATTGGTGTATTCCGAATTCTCTCTGCCCGTTCCAGGCATTGTCTGACCCTCATTTCCCTTTGATGTGGAGGTGCTGGTGTTGGACTGGAGTGGATAAATTCAAAAATCTCACAACACCAGGTTATAGGCCAACATGTTTATTTGAAATCACAACCTTTCGGAGTGCAGACCCTTCATCAGGTGCAGTGAGAGGAGAGCACACAGGCACAGAATTTATAGGTGGAGAGATTAAGGGCAGAGAGATCAAAGGATCATACAACTGGTGTGAGTGAGTGAACAAACCTAAAATGGCTGACAGCGTCCTGTTGAATCTTCAATTATTCACACATTCCTGCATTCTAGAAACTGCAGAAGCAGGGTATGGAGAACTCTGTCAGAAAGGAGATGCAACATTTGATAGATTCTGGAATTTGCATCTTAATCTATTTCAAGTCACTGCCCTGAGATAATTAAAGGTTTCATCAGTGTCTGCCTAACCTTTCAAATTTCAAACAGGCAGAGCGATAGGAAAAAACAAAAGGTGACATCTCAGATCAGACACTGAATTGTAGGTGTGAGGCTTTGTTCAGAATCTGTCTCAGAGTTTTAACCTGGAATCAGGCTGGTTTTATTCCAAAAGCAGGAATTTATAAAGTGCCACACTGACTG